TATATTTACACCATTCTCTTTCACAGAATTATGTACTAATCTCAGAAATTTTAAGTCTCCTCTGAATATTGAAAAAACAAAACAAAACAAACTCAAACTCAATACTTTAACAATTTTCAAAATTCGTATCTACTACTCTGGCTGTTTGCTCTTATATTTGGCAAAATATAAACTCCGTTTTAAATAATACATATATAAAACAGATGCTTTGCGTCATTTTATATTATGCTAAATATAAAATGCAGCTAGCTGGCTATTCCAGGATGCCCCAAAGTGATTGCTGCTTTGTTATTACTAGTGAATTGACTAATTTTTCATGTGAATTTTCAGCACAATGATGTCTCCAAACATTCATGTAATTACCCTATGATGACGCGGCAATTACATAAAGATGACATCCTTGCATGCTTCTGTTTCATATAAACTTCAACATTAAGCAGGAAACTAGAGCATGTGTCATTCGTGACCTTGGGCAATCACTGCTAATAAGCCCTGCTAACAAGCTTTAGATCAGAATGAAACACAGGGCTTCACAATTGCTTCTAAACATATCTCAAAGGTAGGATGCATTATTTTTAATTCTCCTTGAAACTTAAATCAGGTAATCAGAGGTCTCTTATACAGAACAAAGCAAGCACAAGTCATTTCTAACATTTCTAAATAAATTTTAATATAACTTTTTAAACAAGCCTTCGAAATAATTTCATGTCATCTTTCATGTTTGGGGTTTGTGCAGTTTTTTGGGGGTTTTTTTAGTCCAAAGTCCTATACATTTCCCTAGTTTTATGGAATATGATATGATTTTCCTAGGCTATCTGCTAGGGAGCTCTAGTGGCCTAGTGGTAAGAAATTGTGTTGCAATCCCAAAGGCACATTGTTCAAATCCACCAGCTCCTCTACAAAAGGAGGATGGGCAATCTCCTATGCGATTACTTCTGAAAACTCAGTGGAGGGTCAGCTATGGGCCAGTTCTGACTCTATGGTACACACAACAAGAAGGATATCTCCATGCATAGACTTGGTGGTACAGTGGTTAGGTACTCACCCACCTGCTTCTCTGAGACAATCTGCTTCCACAAAGATTTACAGCCTTGCAAGCCCCATGGAGCAGTTCTACTCTGCCTTTCAGGGTCACTAAAAGTCAGGCTTGACTCCATGCGTTTGCCTTTTGTTGGTAGATTATTTCCACCCCCCCCCCAATGGCCATCCATCGTCAGCCATAGTTTCATAAATAATAGTTTCTTTTAAAAAGTATCTGTAAAATGGAGAATAGATGGCACATTTCTTCTTTTATAACCATGACTGAGTAACATAAACTCTTCCTATGATGATTCCCAAGATTAACTTTGTATTTTATTTGTTCCTTTTTAATTTGCTAATCTTGCTTCCATTTTTTCCAGCTAAAGTCCTAAATATTAATTAATTGTTATTAGCTAATGGATTAAATTAGAATGCAAACTCATATAGGCCAGAGGTAACATGGCTTCCAGGCTAATAATTTTTTTAAATAATATTTTTTATTTTAATAACAACAACAACAGCAACAATTGTGATTTTAACAAAAGTTTACAGAAAAGTTAGATTTTCATTCATTCATTGCTGCATATTTTACCCCCTCTCCCTCCCTTCCCCCTTCCCAAGTTGACTTTTTTTTTAATACTAGCGTATTTACAAAATTTGAGTACTTTGTTTTCAAGAACAGATTCTTCCAATTTCCCCCACTTCCCGCAACCCATCAAATTGTGCAACTCCATGATTAATCCCCCTTCCCCTGCACATTCACATCCCTCTGCTTCCACCCCCCCCAACCCCTTAGATCCTTATACTCATTCTACAATAATTATTTTATACAATATTTGTCCTTGTGGGATTGAGTTAGCTCACTCAGTGTAATGCTTTCTAGTCCCTCCTCCATCACACAGGAGCAATGATTTAAAATTATTACCTAACCTGGCTAATAAAATTTTAGTGACTCATTAGCAATATATGTACTTTAAATAAAGAAATGCATTACCACTTTGGTAGTGATGCTTATATATAGAACACGTATGTATAGATAAACAATTTTACAACCATAACAAATTCAAATCAAAACTCATTACCATCAGGTTACTTCTGACTTACAGCATCCCTCCCTGAGATCTCTGAGGTTGTAAATCTTTATAAGAGGAGCATGCCCATTTTTCTCCTTCAGAGCAACTGTTGCATTTGAACCATTGGCCTTTTGGCTACCAATGCCAGTAATCCTTATAACAAGGTTTCACTTTGAAATACTTTTAAATATAGTTACTATACACGCAGATATATATTCATTCAAATAAAAAATAGCATGTTAGAATAAAATCCTTATTAGTAAGTCCATTCCAAGCCAAAGAGGAAAGAATATTTTTGTTTATTTGGTTTTATTCTTACTTATACATATCACTATTAGTCTGACAAATATTTGATTAGAAGACCACAAAACTTAAAACAAAATGAATTATTAAACTAAAACCACAAGTCTAAGGTGCTCCTTTCTTTGAAGAAATTATCTAATTAGTCTCAATGACAAAACCAGAAACAAATGCCCAGAGCTCTCCAAATGGTTGAACATCTAGCATTTCATTGTTTGTCTATTATGCTAACTTTGAATTCTATTACCTGATTTCTCAGAGATTCTTTTGACTGGTTGATATGATTTGTGTTTATCTTTATTACCAAGGGTAACTCTTAATGGACCCACTTCAAAGGAAAAGTAACTGAGAGGAGTTTAAAAATTTTCCCAAAACACAATGTAGTCATGAAAAAAAAAAAAAAAAAAAAAAAAGCTTTGAACTACAGTTCGAAAAACATGCGAGCGAGATTTCTTATTTTCAGGCAGATGAAAATCTCAGGAATTCCTATCTCTGCTTTATGACTTAAGGATTTTCCCCCCACTAGAAATGGGGGTGGGGGGAAATTCTATAGAAGAATGCGATTTACTTTTTATTACAGTCACTCATAGTGTCTGATAACAGGCATTATAATGACAATTATATGCCTAGATTATCCCTGTATTAAAGTTCATTTGAAATTACAAAATGTATGTTTATTTCATGATTGTTAACCCAGCTTGCAGAAAAAGCTGCTGTGACTTGCTTAGCAGATATACATCAGGGACCATCAGAGAGCACTGTGTCCATAAATAAGTTAAGGTGCTGTCCCAAATCATAAAGAGAAACTGCCTTTGAATGGGCAAAGTGCATTCCTACCGCACTTTAAAAATGTTCACCGCTTCTCCAATATTGAATGTAACGGAGAAGCCCATTTGAATAATTTAAAATAGATTTTACGCTGATGGCATATTGATTTACCCTTGGTCTGAAAACTTCTCCTGGTGTTCATTAACCTATCTTTAAAAAGGCCCTAACAAATGGAACCTCCATTATGATCTGTTAGCAGCGAAGAGCCTGATGTATTATTTCCTCAGAAGTTTTCAGTCGGTTTTCTCTCCTGTCGTAAAAATGGCATCTTGGAAGGCCAATAAATAAATGGAGCTGAAATGGCCTTATTTGCCAAAACATTTCATTAGTGGACATCTTCCTTTAAGTAAGCGATGACTTTAAGTAAGTAACGCACCTGTGTTGATACCTATACGCCATGCGGACTTGTCTCCAGCCTGTGTGTGTTGTCTTGTTTCTACAGAGTGTTATTGTAACCCTCTGGGCTCAATCCATGACCGTTGTAATGGCTCAGGATTTTGTGAGTGTAAGACTGGAACGACAGGGCCTAAGTGTGATGAGTGTCTGCCAGGAAATTCCTGGCACTACGGCTGTCAACGTAAGTAACGCTGGGAGCTGCCCTCTGCCTGCTACAGCATGGCTGATTGTGCTTGTCGAGGCCAATGCGCACAGCTTCTCAGAGAAAGACCCAAACTGCTGACAAGCTTTAAAAGTTATCTCATGCCTCAGCCTCTGCATAGGAGAGCAATCTATCAGCTGTCCGTCCAGCTGGCTTCTTTGAAGCCGGTCTTCACCCCTTCTGATGGCTGAAGCAACTTTCATTGAAATATTGTACGTAGATCCATGTACTTGGTCAAACTATAAATTAAGAGCCACAATGGGGACCTGATTTGGAAAGACTCACCACAAAATGAAGGGTGATGTGTCTGTGGTTTAATATATTTCTTGAACAGAGAGCTACCCTGGAGCTCCAGAGTTCATAAATTAAATGATATCTAAATAACTTATTACTGTCTTTGCTATCATACCCATTACAGAATCTTAACCAAAAACCTAAGATAATGAATCCAAGATATATTTAAATGCCAGAGGAAAATAAATGGTAGAAATCAATACTGATTTTTAAGCCTCTGAGGTTAGGTACTGTGTAGTAAGCCTTATACTCAATGCCGTGTGCTTTGGTCTCATTTCTCCGTGGATGATGAGGCCTTCCTCAAAGCTTGTCAAGGCAGGAGGCAAACTGAGGCACCAGAAACTAACATATCTAAGCAAAAGCTACTTTCTGTCTTTTTTTTTCTTTTGCTTTTTAATTGTGCACTAACTTTTCTTGCTGTGTAGAGTCCACTTATTAATATTAAAGGGTGGCAAAACATAGCCTCCAAAGCAGCACAGTCTGACAGAAAATGCTGCCAAACATATGCAATGGTGGCCATCCTGTAATCAATGTTTTTGAAAGTTAAAAAGAGAAATTTATATTAATATCTCTTCCAAACTCTGAACTCATTGCTGTTGAGTGGAAGTGACTTATAGCTAAACCTCTAGCAAGTTCTTCAAGTCTGTAAATTGCTCAGGAAGAGATGCCCATCTTTCTGCAACAAAGCAACTGGTGGATTTGAACTATGTGACTTTGGATTGACAGTACAACTCCCTGCCCAGTAGGCCAGCAGAGGTCTATAAACATTAGTAACTTAAAATATCAAAAATCCTATCAATCTGCATGTAATTTTTATAAAAATAATAAAGGAGATACCATAACTTTTTCAAACTTTCTTCAAAATTTGGCATGTTTTACACTTACAGAATATCTCGACTCTTGTTGAATTGTGAATTGAGTTTTGCTGTAATGTGAGGCTTGCCAGTCACAGTGTCCACCATACTAGACAGTGCAGCTCTAGAGTTCTTCTGATTACTTTTTTTCACTTGGAAAAAAAATCAACATGAAGAAAACCATCTATAGCCAATTTCTATCAGGGCAATATAAATGATCTATCTGCTACTTGTCTGAAATTTGTAGTTGTCTGGCAACAAACTGCATGCACTTCTACACAATGAGTTACCAAAGTGGAACTTAATGTTATAATGCCATAAAACATGATGATAGCTGGGAAATTTGACATTGCATAAGCCAGAGTTAGCATGTGAAAGTGAAAACACTACAGAGCTAGGACTCAAACAGATGTATGCATATCCATGTGTATTACTGCTTTATTCACAATAGCAAAGAGATGAAATCAACCCAAGTGACTATCAACAAATGAATGGTTAAAAAATGCTACATTTATGCAATGGAATATTACACAGCATAAAAAAAACAATGAACTTGTAGAAGATTATACATTTGGAAGCTTGGAGGACATTAAGCTAAGTGACTCAGTCACAAGAGGACAAACATTGCATAACACTGTTGTTGTAAAATAAACAGACATGGGGGAAGTTGGGGAGAGAATGGTATTAGAGTGGCTAGATAATGAACACTGCATCAGAGCAGCTGAGGGGAAGAACTGTCCAAAAGGAATACATGTTTGGGCATTATATGTACGACAGCAATCTGGGACGAGTGCTTTGCAAAGTGGTTTGGGGTATGATAAGAGGAGGGGCAGGTAGAAAATGTTCAACAATTGGAAAAATATGATATATTTTTAAAAATAGTGAAAAGAGAGCATCATAGAGGATCAGATCATGAGAATGTGGGAAACATACCCACTGTCATCTGTGGATTAGGCAAGTAGGTAGAAGTCTTGCCTGCTCCAGGTTCCCAGAAAGCACTGGTTCTTAGAAGGCTGGGTGGAGTGGTGGATCCCAGGATATAGGAGAAGTTATCAATCATTGGCGTCTGGCAGCAGGGCCAGAGGAGACCAATAGTCAGGAGAACAAACAGATAAAGGGTGGAAGGCAATACCAAGATTGAGAGCAAAGTGTAAGGAGACATAACTGACAAACTTCTCAGACAGAAAGTCTCCTGTAGGATGACTGCTAAAGCAGGATCTGAGTGGATTCCTAGAAGGAATGAAAAGGCATCAGGGAGAAAGAGAAATTGATCAAGCCTTGGGAAGAATACACTTCAAGAAAGGCCTTGGTCTAAATTCCCTGTATTAATTACTAGAGAAGTATATAAAAACATGTAAAATTTGGGTGAATATTTTCCTGTTTGCACATGAGTAATTGGATAGAACTGGACTTCCTCTGTAAGGACTACATGATTTGCCAATCTCACATTCTTATCTTCAGGATCAATTAGTAAGTGAATTTTTATTTTGAGTGTTTATTGAGCACCTACTATGCTTAGACATTTTGCGTTTCTACTCTGGGGAACTCTGGTGGCTTTGTTGTAAGAATCTGTGCTGCAATCTTGAAGGCCCACAGTTCAAATCCACTGGCTGCTCAGGATAGAAGGATGGGCAATCTCCTCCTGTGCGATTAGTGCCTCTGAAAACACACTGGAGGGTCAGCTATGGGTCAATTCTGACTCGATGGTACACAACAACAAACAACAACTCTATAGATGAAGAGTTCACAGACTGGAGTGAGAAGTTGCCTTATGACCAATAGATATGATAAGAGGTAATGAGAGCAAGGGAAGAGGTATACATATTCTGTGACGAAAGTTAAGATGAGGTGGAAGGCTTCCTGAAAAGATGATAATTAAATTTTAACTAAGTGCTAGTGAAGTTTTCCAGGATTAAACTTCTTGAGAATGGAATATAAGCTAGAAAACTATATTCAGAAATCCCTAGTAATGTTTATGTGGTATAAGACATGGAGAGAGAGAGAGAGAGAGAAAGAGAGAGAGAGAGAGAGAGAGAGAGAGAGAGAGAGAGAGAGAAGAAAGTAGAGACCAGATTGAGTGGTCTCTTAAATGCCAAACTAAAAATATTAATTTCGCGGATAAACATGGGGGACTAGTTATAGAACTCATCACATGGCTTTATGCAGAAGAATGAGAGGATAACATTTGGTTTTAGAAATATTATTCTACTTAGAAAAATTCTGTAAGGAAAGGACTGGAAAAAGATGAGATTGGACTTGGTGTAAAACTTGAATATGTTTCAAACATACTTTGGAAGACTCCTTGTTGGGTTGGGTTTTTGGTTTGTTTTTTTTTTTTCATCCTTTAGACCCACTCACACAGAACTGATATCCTAAATTAAAATAAAGAAAATCTCAGGTACTCCCCAGTAAATGGTGCCAACCCCAAGTTCCTACCCTTGGGATCTCTTTGACTACTCTCAATGTCCAGTAGGTAAGAGTAACATCTATCAGAGTTAGGTGCCTCCAGCACCTGTTATAGTGATAGAGCAAGTGTCAGATATGATTAGTTTGTGCTTATTGGCTTTTAAGTATTTTTCACATCACCTCTAGGTCCACATACATCTGAATCCAGTAAGAAGTGGCCCTATAGTCAGTAACTCTAGACACACAGATACACTAACTTCTGCTCAGCCTCAGTTGGACTTATTCTTGATTTGGCCACATTATGAGTGGCAGTCATAATAAGATGTCAACCAGAAACCAATGTCAAGAAGAAAACAATGGTGGACAAGGGCTAGCAGCATCATTGGTAATAGTGCTGGTTTCTGTTGTTGTGTACTTTAGAGAGGAACCGACCCATAGCTGACCCTTCAGCGCATTTTCAGAGGCAGTTAATTGCAAAGGAGTAGATTGCCTAATCTTCTCTCTCAGAGCATCTGGTGGCCTTCAACAACATGCTTTCAAGATTGCAGTGAGCATCTTGCCACTAGGCCACCAAAGTAATACTGGTAGTAGGCAAATCTCCAGAAAGCTGTTGTCTGCAGTAGGTATCAAAACAGAATCTTAAAGATTCAGGCACAGGGCTCATTCCCTGAGAGGACTAGCAAGAACACAACAAGGAACTGCAGTCAAAAAGGACATGGCTTTGCAGATAGATAGTAGAAAAAAAGACAGCTAGTGACTGGTTCTACCACTTAGGACCTAGAAGTAGAAAGGATAAAATGAGTATGTACTTCAGTTCTGGTATCATGTAGACCTAGGTTTGAATCTCACTTCTCTCTCTTACATGGAAGCAGGAGTAGCATCCACTTCCTAAACAACATGCCTCTGGAAACTCTGAACTTTGATAAATGACGATAGTTATAGAAAGGCTTCAGGCCTTTTATTCATAGGGTTGCTATGAGTCGTGCCCGACTCAACAATAATGAACAACATCTCTCACTTGCTTACAAGGGGTACTCTGGTGACTTAGTGGTAAGGAACTGAGCTACCAAAGCAAAGGTACGGAGTTCTAACCCACCAGCTGTACCATGGTAAAAAGATGGTAAGTTTCCTCCCATGCAGTTTATTTCCTCTGAAAGGTCAGCTACAGGTTGGTTCTGACTCAATGGTTCACCACCCACCACCACCACCACCACAATAACACTTACTTAGACCATTGAAGGGTCAGCTACAGGTTGGTTCTGACTCAATGGTTCACCACCCACCACCACCACAATAATACTTACTTAGAAGAATTAAAAGAAACTACTTAGACTCTTCAATCCTGCTTTTCATTTAAGAGTAGTACCCAATTTATGTAATAATTGTGAAGATTCAAGGGCAATGATGAATGTAGACTTCTTGGTA